AAAAAAAAAAAAGAGGGACAAGATACAAAAAATCTCGGACTTGGTTCCGATTCTAAAGATTTGCAGTAAAGAGAATTAGTTAGGGTGTAGTAACAAACCCCCAGGCAAGGGCACCGTTAGCCTGGGGAACGTTACTACTTACCTTACTCAATTCTCTTTACTGACCCGAAATCAATTATAATCCTGACCCACCCAGAATGAAAAAGCGGATCCATGTCCAAGATCCCGCTAAAGATCTGAGGGTGGGGGATCCTGGTAGGAACCTATGGGACAGTATTTGCAGTAAAGAGAATTGAGTTAGGTAAGTAGTAACGTTCCCCAGGCTAACGGTGCCCTTGCCTGGGGGTTTGAACTTCTGCATTCAAAGAAATTCCTGATGGTTTTATACACACCAAACATGCTGAAACGGGGACTTATGTTCCGCCTGAAAAAAAAAACCATGCATTGTAACGATAACATTGTCCATTTCTCAAGTGATTCAGGGGAAAAAAAGCTCATTATTCTCGGAAACGTGTTTTTATTTTTCCTCACTCTCATAGCCAACAAAAGGGACTAGTTATTTGCTTACAACACTCGCCAGCAGGTTCTTTTCGATGTGAATCAGTTTGTATATTAAAATATGCATACACTTCAACGAGTCAAACGTTCTTTCCACATACACTCAAAACTTTATTCCTTGTATAATTCGCCAAGAGCGAAAAAAAAGACAAAGGCCGGACGTCCTTCCTTGGTAATTGGCACAAAGCTCCTTGAAACCGAACTTAAATAATAAGGACGCAACCGCGAAGAAATAAGAGAAAGAATAGAATACAGCCAGGAACTGAATAAAATGTCCTCGAAAAAAAAAAAACATGGGTATAAGATGTGCAATGGAATGCAAGGCGTTGATGGGTGATGAGTGACTTGAGCTGAACGGGTTCATAGCACTTCCACATAGTTTGCTGGATAGAGCCCCACTCGACCATCCAGTCTCCCTTTGCACCAACCCTGTTCATCTTCGTCCTCTAATTTCTCGAAAACTTGCCCTGAAATTGACAAAGAAAATTCAACATTTTAGAATGGAGATTCAGCAGTTATTTTTCCAAAATTCAATTATTTTATGTTGAACTTAAATCCGCGGTTGCTTGGATATGTCAGTTAGCTGGTGTCTGATTCCCTGACACCTGACTAAAAACTATCCCAACTTGCTTTTAATTGGCTTATCTGACGAGATATTAGCCATTCAAACAAGATTATCCCACAACCGAACCCAATTAACCCAATATATTCGACCTTTGACCTGTCCGAAAGCAATAAAATTCAAGTAACCCATATAAAACTATACAGAAATTTTCAAAGTCAAACACATCGTTGAGAACGATCATGTTTTAAAAAAATGTGTCAGGTTAAAAATAAATCTTATTTTTTATTTTATTTCAGAAATCATGATTCGTCAATATCAATTACACTAAATATTTCTCGCGCAAAAAGAGCGGCAGAATGAAATTCTTTGCAATTCTGTTTCATGAGCTTGTAAAAAGAAGAATTTGTGGGGGAAAAGTGATCAGCATCACAATGGTTACATTAATTTTCTAGGAAAGAAATTCAAAGTATTAATCCGTACATATCCTGCACAACCCCGAGTTACTTTGCTCTTCGATTTATTCGACATATTTGACTTGAAAATAATCTTCTTTACTCTTGAAAAAATTCCCCATGCGAATAAGCAGCACAGATTCTTTAAAGCCACACTTAGCTTATGCACGGAAGATTAGCAAAAGAAAATTCGCCGCTCTTCTAATACTTTTTCTAATCCATGACTGTTTTTATTATTTGAACATAACTTTCTAATACGCCACCGACTTCAACAGCATTGACTGACTTCACGTTTTATCCTGCCCTAATATAGATTACGTGACCGACTTTCAGAAAAGTTGGAAAAGCCGCATACCGCTTTTCTTGGCCCCGATTTTTTAAAAGTTTTTTGCTGCAAAATGACGGATTTTAGGATAATAAGGAGGAAATATCAGATTTCGGACATGAATATCATAAAGACGATGTTGCAATAATTCAATGATATCTTGAGATGTTTAGTTGTGCATCAAAGCCTCACACGCGATGATTTTTCATGAAATTGTAAAAAAATAATTCCTACTTTGAACATTTGTGGTGATATATCAATTTTCCTGTTTTTGCAATCATCATAAAATTTCGCGGGTGAAATATTATACCGGTTTTGAAAGTAAGTTCGTCCTTCTCGACCCCGTCGTAGTCGTAAAGCGCTTTTACTGGGACGCCGTCTTCGCCGTTGTCGCTCACACCATCCTCGTCACCAGGTTCTTCCCACTCTTCATCCTCGAAAACTGGGCTCACTTTGATGCCACTCGGTCTGAATAATCAAAAAAAATGCATCTAGGTGAATCTAGAATATTAAATGAAATATCTCATCAGTGATTATATGGACCTCTTATTGGCAGCATTTTTAGCTTGTTTCTGGTTCGAGTTCAGAAGCGGATTCGAAAATTTTCCATTTGTTCCACGTCCGTCGTTTTTGTTGGATGATCCGGATGACGGTGCTGACGTTTTTGACGCTTTCTTTTTCGAGGATTTGGAGACATTGTCAACGTCCTGTTGCAAATTAGATTTAAATTTTTGTGATGAAAACTTCATAAATAAATGGGAGAAGATTAAAACTTCCAAATACTATTGTACCATGCCGCGCTAAGTTTTTCAGCTACGAAAAACCGCTACAGAATAGGGAAACATTTCAACTTTGAAACTTCGAGTGCGAATCAATTTGAATATTTACGGGAATTTCGTCGCCAAAAGACCGTTGATTGATCAACGTGATCGGGGATTCTGCAACTCCCGCGTTCTTGTGCTTCTTGGAAATGTCCCGGAATTCTTCAGTATATTCCTGAAAAAAAAAGACCTTCACAAATAAAGGGCCTTGGAAGAGTTACAAAATGTCCGGAACAAAAGAAGCAGACCCGAGAAACCCTTCAAGTTGTATATATACGAGAGAACATACAAGAACGCGAGGGGAAATTTTAGAAGTTCAACAGCAGAAAGGGGCGACTTTTTCGGGAATTCAAAATAGCTTCCTTGCAAATATCGACCAGAAATATCGGAACCTTCTCTTTTTTCTTCTTCATCTTCTTCCTCTTGGAAACCGAATTTCGGATTCTTTCTTGCGTTTATTTCTCTTTCAATCAATCACGAAAGAAACTGCATGGAAAGCTCACCTCGAATTCCGGCCACTTCATGTTCATGTTGACCCCGCGGTTTTGCGACCACCAACGCAGATCCTTCTCACGATCCGCGCAATCAATGGTCGCAAAGAGCTCGTTGTAAATCTCGGGAAGCCTTTAAAAACAAGTATCTTATTATCCCCTTTCGGAATTTCTGGACTACTAACCCCGATTTACGGAAAGCTACGTCTTTATTCCGAAGTTCTAGGAGAGGCGGTGTTTTTAAACCACATTCCTGACATTGAACGAAAGAAAGTGTTTCAATAGTACCAGCAGTTCACAATTTTTTTTAAAGAATGGAAATATGATGCTCTTAGCTCAATTTATGCTTATGCGATTCAGAATCCTTTTAAAAAATGTAAATCAGATTATCTTGATACTTAAAACAAGCATTTTTCATCTTCTATAATGAGTTTATTCAATTTTAGTCTGACTTTGGCTAAATTCTTGAAATTCTTGCTCGCCAATTTGCATTTTATGACAACTTGTTCACACCCATTTTCGCCGATATTGTGAAACATTTTTTTTGGAATATGGCTGTGAAACTGGGACATTTGTTACTCAATATTTTATTGAATACTGTACGTACAGTAGTTAAAATACGTAACAGTACAATATTTAAAAATACCTAGACTACCAATAAAATGCAACAATCAATCGAGTACTGTGGTAGGTACATTGGAAAGGAATTTATGCTCTCTCTCTCTCTCTTGGGGAAAAACAGAGGTCCGGCGATTATTTCAAGTACAGTACTGTGTGTTTCTTTAATTACATCCTTAAACGGAGACTTCACATCGGGTGAGTACAAAACTGACAAAACTTCCGAAACAACCTTCCGACATTCTTATATTTTCATGTCGACCCTAAAACCCCAAGCAGGGAAAGGGATTAAGCTATTGGGGGCACCCGTTAAATATCTCGAATATTAAAAATAAAGATTTCGAATATGGAGGAGTAAAATTATTTTTCAAGCGAGCTAAACAATTACATTTTTCCAAATTTTAGTTTTATCCAAATCACTTTAAAATCACAAATGAAAGGTTTTCATACTGGATTTCTGCTTAGTGATAATTAGCCAGAAATCGAATGAACCCTCAAGTAAAACGCATACCCGGATTTTTTACAAGGATATTGCATTAATAAAGTATATTTCTTCAAGCTTGCTTTGAGTCTCGTGGGCGTAATAACGCTTTCTTTCGTGACTAAAAATTTCATTTCATAAAAATCAAGTTCTAAGGAATGTTCGTTGTTCAAATGTAGATGTTGAATTTTACCAACAAAAGAAAATAAATTAAAATCAATGATTGAATCCTAATTTATTCAAGGCTAAAGTCAGGTTAAAATTTTCTATTTAAAGTGGCTCAAGTTTGATACGCAGCCGATAAGAATTTTTTTACGAGGACATAACACCTGACTATGACGCGCATCCTATTTGATTTTCGTAAAAGAAAACAAAAATTTGCGCGAGGTACTTAAGTAACTACAGTAGTTGCGAAATTGTGATTGTTATCTTTCATGTGCAGTACTGCTTGAGCAAGACTTATTGATCGTACTATATAACCAGAGCTTTAGAAAGGATAGGATCAAGATGGATATAGAAATTAAAGTCTTCGCATCGCGAATAAATCGGGGCATACAAGAGCTTATTATTGTTCGCAAGGAATAGATAAGTATATACTGTATGTAGTTCTGATCCCGGGAACTTACTCTGTGTAAGAGGATATGTTGAGGCAGTTGTGAACGTCGTAGAGGATTTCCTTCAGGAACCGAAGCCGTACAGCCTCGACCTCCTGACAAGCCTCGAACACTTTCCTCATGCTTTCTTTGTAGTACGGGTTGTACTCGGTGATTTCCTTGAGGGAAGCCTCATAAATGACCCGAGTTTTCGCCACCAGCTCTTTGGCCTTTTCCACGCGCTCTGCTGCCTTCTTCGCAGTTGGCTGCAAAGTTGCGAGAGAAATTCCTTTTTTTTTTATGATGATTGGCCAAAACAAAACAAAATATGAGTTTACACACTCATTGGGAAGCTTGATACTGTAGCACTCACACACAAGCATGACTCGTCTCATCTGCTATTATTTGCGAGGGACAAAAATAAATTCGATCTCGCTTGCACAATAATTTAGGAAGCTTTTTCATTGGGTTGAATTTTGTCAAAGAACTATAGTTAACGCAAATATTCACCAATTTTAGAATAAATGATTATTTTCAATCATGTGCAATTGGAAATTTTTGTAAAGGATTTATCACATTAAATCCCAGTCGATATTTATTTCCGATTGTTTGCTGTAGCGTGTATATAGACTTTATATCGAATGTAATCCAGGTTCAATGATTTTTAAGAAGAATGTTTTTTTTAATGCTTCACATTTGGGTGCATAATATCCTTCAGATTTTTGCGTATAACTCGAAGATACCGGTTTCCATTAATGCTTGTTTGTGAAAAAACATTTTGTAGAATTTTTCTGTAGATTGGTATTGGAGCATTGTTCAAAGGACTTTAAAGCATACCAATGACTATCTTCAGCAAAATTTCAGACTCTGCTGAGGTGATCATGTCGACATTCGTTCACTAAATACATTACTTTCATCGCAAATGATTCAGTGATTGCTGGAAGTTTTAACTGTGTCATGCTTATAGTTTATACTGTACTGTATTATAATTTAATGTTTGCGTCCTTGACCCTTTTTATGTAACACATGCGGTGTACCGTAATATGACATAGAAAAGTCGTATTAATTTTGTAGTCCTTTTCCACAACCGTATAATCTAAAGAATGACGTCACAAAAAATTGCACCAAAATGATGTGATTTCGCAACGTTCCAAGGCTGAAGCAATAGCATTCAACAGCACTGCCTTATTATAACAGGCCAAGATAAGCCCTGTAACGGCTTATCTGAGATAAGAGGGAACACTTTACAGTATTTTGAGTCGTAACCCCTGTTGATTGTCGTCTTGATTCATGACCTGTCAAAGTTGTTTGATTTTTGTTAAGAATATCCTAAACGCAAGTTCCGGTCTTTTTGTTACCTTAAATTGAGAACTCCGCGAAAAATTTCTATGATCCCGTGGCAAGCAATAAAATCAATCAAAGACCCAAGAGGAAATTCGGAAATATTTCAGATATTAAATATTCATCAATCATGTGCGAAACATGATTTTGATAAAATACTTGAAAAAGTTGCACGTAAGGAAAACAAAAATGTTATCCAACAGCTGAGTTTCAAGGAAGTGTGAGCATGAAACGCTGTAAGCTTCATTATTTTTTGCAATGTCTACCTCAGCTTTCAAAATGGTAAAAGATCAACTTAGATTAATGCACAGCGGTATGAAACTGCATGATATGCAAAAAATGCTCCGAACATCGTTTGAATGGTTTGCGCTAATACACTGAATCATCAGTAATTTTTTACTATTTCTAGATTATCTGCGATTTAAAGAAAACATTTCGATAACTATTCTTACTGACAGAATGGCACAGAAAATGTGTTATTTCGTCGGATTTGCGCTTTGTAGGCTTTTCATATGAACCAAAGTCATGAAATTGGTCCACTTTATTTTCAGGCTGCATATTTTTCTTTATCGTCAATAATCAATCGAGCACTTGAAAGATCGAGTGAAAGTTGTGATATTTTTGTTGGTTGACAGCATTGGATTTCGAAGCAGACTTCGAGCTCTCGTCATTAAAGTTTACTGTAATCTCACGTGTGCAGCACTGTTTCTCCATAATTCATTAGCTAATTTTTGAATGGCTTTTGATTCAAAAATTTATGTTCGTCGTTATTTATTATTATCTCTCGTGAATATTAAGAAAGTTTCTATATACGTCAACTCACAGCGTCGGGAGTCGTTGGGTCAGCTCTGCTCGCATTCAGTTGGTTATTTAGCGCAGTTCGCTCATTTTTGCGAGCATTGTGGTAATCTGAACGAGCTTTGTTCACTTTGTTGTACAGCTTCTCCCAAGGTTTCTGTTCTTTCCGGAAACGATCGTCCATCTCCTTTTTCTCCTTCAATTGCATCATCGACTGCATAATCATAAAAATGTCAGCATTCGTTCGCGCCAGCAATCTGCATGTTTGTGTGGACATCTATTTTTCACAGCTGATAGTTTCCTTCAAGAAGCAAGGCTAAATGCAGCCTGTTGGAAATCTTGAAAGTACCGTATTTACTCGAGTATAAACAGAACCATGCGCACCTTTTTTTCTCTCAAAATTTCGAGGAAAAAGGGCCGGGCGCATAGTAAAAAGCGGGTATAATTTTTTCAAAACGTTTTTGATATTTAGGTATGCATTATGTTTCTTTCTAATGGGAAATTTAAAGCAATTTTATCAGAAAACGCACTTTAAAGGAAACAATTGGAAATTGGTTGAATTCTGGTAAAATTCTTGTTTAAATTCATATTTGCGTGATATTATTTTCAAAATATTTAAATGTTAGAGTCACTAAAGATGGGGTGCGCGTTTAAGTCGGGGATGCAATTACATAAAAAATTCTGACTGAAAACCCTGGTGCCCGTTCTTACTCGAGGGCGCGTGGTGCTCGAGTAAACACGGGTACTGGGTAATCTAAAATATTTGCTCATCCTGGGTTCGTATTTTTTATTTTATTTTATACATGAAAAACAGGGCTCCAAGAAGAAAAGTCACAGGGGATGTTTTCTGTTTACATTTGACGTATATAACCTCAATACGAGGGGTTACACGGTTCCGCCCGGAGCAGCTTGTGGCTGCTGTTCTGCTGCGGACAAGCTACAAAATTCAACTGAGCATTGCAAGGCCTGTTCCAACACATGGATCAAAAGGGCTGAGAAGTGTGTAAAAATTGGTGGTGATTACATTGAAAAGGTGTCTGTCTAGCCTTTTTGAAACTAGTGAACATGAGAAAAATGGTTTTTTTTTTTTTTATTCCCTGGTGTTCAGATCGTTTCAAGTCCGCGCCGAAACGAGTCCGCGCGGAAAGGTGTAACCCCTCGTAGAGAACCTCATTTGTAACTGACATGATCTAAGAAGGATATTTTGGATAATTTACAGTATTTAGAAAAAGAAAGGACCTTGTGGTAATTGTCCTTTTGCCAGTTACGCATTTTCGGGCACAACTCTTCTAGAATTCATTTGAGCTTCGATGTTTTAAAGTGCACACAGAGTTGCCAAGCAACGATGTGTCAGTGACCTGAATTTGGATTGTTATCAAGATTCAAAAAATTCCAGAAGCACATCCCTGACGAATTTATTATCTGGTGAAAATTTATTTTGGTAAGTTTCAAATGATGATTCAAAAACTCAGTTTTAATCTGGTTTTTTTTTTAAATATGATTTAAATTTTAGTAAGCCATGAATATGGATAAGAAAACGCTTGTATTCCTGGAGTGGTATTAAGATTCAATTCATGTATCTCCAGATTTGTGTTCTTGTGCCTATTTATTTTTCTTGCTTTTCGTTTTATGCAGCAGGTTTTGGGCAAGGTAAACAGGAAGGGATGCTGCTGAGGGACAGAGGCTTCCTGGGCAATTTTCCTTTGGCAGCAGAAATTTGAGAGGGTTGCTGGGGAAAATCGGAAAATTCGGTGCTCGCGAAATTCTGGTTTCTGTTCTTGTATTTTTTATATGTGCGCGTGTCAAATAAGAGAAAAAAGTGGGAAAGGAACGCGCGCCAGTTTTTGCAAGCCCCCGAGAGCTTTGAGGTTCGTCATTCCGTTTTTGACCCTGTATACATCAATTAAGAAGGGGAATTTTTAGTGATTTTACCTGAAATACTTCACTATACTCGTACATCAACCATAGAGCCAAAATGAACAAATTGAATAAAATGACTGCAAAGGCAAATAATTCTTCATTTTCACATACTGTACATGATTCTGCACTTCCTTTTAAAATGGGAAATTGACAAATTCCAACATCAGGGATACGTATAATACGCGGTGGATTTTCAAAATGCCACTGATGAGTTGCTCATTATAGTACCTGATGAGCTGCCTTTAAAAGCAGATTCAACACACTTTTTTCTGTGATTCCTATTATTCCTGAGGAACATTCAAATCGTCTTCTTTTAAATACGACTCGAAAAAATAGCCACGCATCTGAGAAGACATTAGCTCTTCAGCCAGTATTAAGCAGCATTATTATTATTATCTGATTCGACGACTCCCTTTTTGGATTACCAGATTAACACGAAGTAATTAATACAAATAAAATGAAGAATAGTTGGTAGACCGGACTTTTGTTCAAATTCGACAATAAACCAATCGAGAAACGGCTTTTAAATTATTTTCGAATCAGAGCATTTACTGCCGATGCCCTTTTTTTGTGCAGGTGGGGTTATTTTACACTTTTCTGCGTCAATGGCAGATGTGCACATGCCAAAAAAGATAACGCATGATACATCCCTGATATCTAGACATCGATTTTTTTGCTTAAGATGAAAACCCTTCGCTGAAAATGCTAGCAAATTTAGAAGTGTCCTGGGTTTCTTCTATATTGTTAATTCTGAGGATTTTCGAGAAATCCCGCGTAATTTTTTTCATAAATTTGGTGAGCTAAATTTTATTCCTTGGAAAATGTTTCCCCTCAAATGAATCTTCTAAATTCACACAAACTGAAAATTAGGTAGATCTGTATGTGAAACACGTAACTCCAGAGTTTTGAAAGTCAATATTTTTTTAGAGTAAAATACAGTATAGACAGTTTCCTCAAAGAGAAATTTCCCGGAAAGAAAATTTTTTGCTTTTATTGTACTGAAAAATTTTCTGCGATTTTCACATTTGTTGACATTTTTGAGAAAGTGTCTCAAAATTATGCAAAAGCCCTGCATTCTTGGCAGGCCGGTTCAATGATTTCTGTCATATCTTTGGTCAGTGTATATTCTTGAAATGAAACTAAATTATTTCACAAGACATTGTTAAATTCATTAAACTACTGTATTTAATTATCAGGCTCGATTCTGCAAACAGCACAAAATTGTGAAGGAATCTTTTTGAAGCAGACTTACCACGGTCGAAGTGGTCCTCCCACTTCTTACTCCAACTGCGCAAACTTTTGGCGTAGTTCTTTTCCAGTTCAGCTCGTTCCTGAAGCAGGGTAACATAGTCCGAACATAGTTTGTTGCCATCTTCAATTCGCTTCGTCGTCCACTTGAAATTGCCAGGTTCCCAAAACGAACTTGAGCCGGCGATCGACAGTGTGTCTGTCGACCCGGCATCGTCACTGTGCACCGACATCGCGACGCTTTCACATTACGCTCATTGTTCAATCTGCCAAACTAAAAATTGAGTAACACCTTCACGATGTGATGTTGGTATCCATCGTATCAATTGAATGGCATTTTTCAAATTTTTTATAACGACTTGACACATGAACGTCCCGGATTTTTTAATCGGACGCGACTTTCTCGTGCGAGGAAAATGGTCTTACTAATTTCTGCATTATTCACAAATCACCAATTAATTATTTGAACGCCCACTTTTCTAGAGGGAATCTCCCAAAAAAAAGTCAAGATTTTCGCATTTCTGACACAAATTTTGCGTTTCAAAAGTATGCAGAAGCTCATTATAGCCGTATTTAATCCTTTGATTTAAGCCTCGCAGATTTCTATCTTTTGGTCAGTGTGCGTTCTAGAAAAACTCAAGCGTGAAAAAAACAATGACAAAAACGTGAACATGCGAGTCTTTTTTAATTGCTGAAATATTTTGTTCAATTTCCACCCAGACTTGTTCACTGACTTGTGTTTAAAGACAACGTACAGGTATTGTTACTTTCGTCATCAAAAAAGAACAATTTTCTAAAAGTAAAATGTCTTCGACTTCATCATTTCTTTCCGAACTCGGAAATGGGACATTTTCAGGAATTTTTTTCGCGGCTTGAAATATTGAATAAAACTTCATATGATTTTTAATGAATAAAACACCCTTCCCCAAAAAAGAATTCCACGATGAACATGTAAAAAAAAGACAGACACAACGAATTTACATTCTCAAAGCTTTCCAATAAACCCCATGAAATTCGCGTTAATTAAAGGTTCGAAGATGATTTTAGGAAACAGATTTTAAAGCTTCAGCTCACGACAATAACAAGACACGGAAAAATGTTCGGAAGAAAAAAGGCAATAGCTGTACGCGTTTTTCTCATTTTATTTTCCTTTAGCATCCATCAACAGTATTCAAATTTAGGCCAAAAATTTAAAATTGAAATTCTAGACTAAATATTCGAGGCGTACTACGTGGCTTCAAGAAACCCGGAAGTCGTAAAAATTATGAATCAACACCCGCACAATAATTCAGATGCACACCATTATTATTGTCACGTACACTGCAAATTCAAAAACGTCGCAGGAAAAAAGGACGACACTGCTTTTCCCTTGGGTAAACATAACTATAAACAGGAGATCACCATCCTTATACTGCGATGCATCTGCTTTATTGTTCGATCATCCTTTGTTTCATTCATTTGATCGTTATTAGAAAGAAAAACCTGCTGCACCCGAGAATTCTGACGCGAATAACTTCGTTTCCAACTCCTACAAACCACGATTGAATCATCGAGTCATCGCACCGTCACGATGTCGGTACTTCTTGCGTACTTGCACTCGTGTTCTAACTTTGCTTTTTCTTACTTCGCGGGAAAGACAGGTAGATTCCGAAAGCACTGCGAAAGCGAATTCTCTCAGCTCAGTGTGGATCATCCTCAATAAACAAATAGGTTCTACTTCTATGTCGATCTAAAAAAAAAAGATTAAAATTCATTGTCGAAAAAGCTGGATGCTGATAATAAGTGGTCTCTCAAATATTTTGAAAATCAGATAAACAAGTTCCCTACAACAGACTCAAGAGACAAAGGTGCAAAACTTACATGAGGTAAATTCTTGCTTCTTTTTTAGGATAACATTTATCTAGACAACAACGGATCCTGTATTCTGAAAAGATAAGAAGGAACCGGAAGAATAAAAAAATATGCGGCAATTTCCATTCCAGGCCAAGGTTACAATCGTTCTTTTTCTGATTTTATGAAAACTGGCTGAAGCTCAGACTGTCTATTCCTGGCTGAAGCTCAGAAAAAAGAAAAATCAAAGAGTAAAGCACGCTTTGTAAAATAAATGAAAAGTAATCAATTGAATTTAAACAAAATCACTGATGTGCGCATCAGAACGTTGCTGTGCATACGTATTATCAAATACACTTGCATTATCGAAAAATCCTCTTTATTCACAGGATTTAATCTAGATTTTTGAACGATTATGTTCCAAGTTTTAACAAAGCCGAATGCCGGAAAACTCGTGAATTCCATTATTAAAACGCAATTATATTTGCGTCTCTCACGCCATCACCAGCAGATTTTTCCAAGATTTTAGCTTCAAGTATCGAACAGTTCTAATACTGGTCGGAGAGACTTTAAAATATTTATCATGAGAACAAAAATATATCAAATAACTTTTCTTCTCACTAAGCTTCTGATTGATCCAATTTCATCCAATCAAAGAATAAAAAATGCTATGAAACGCTGAGCGAATGAGAAATTACTTTTTGGAAACGTAAGTAAATTTTACCCATGAAATTATCAGTATACTATTAGGATTGTAAAGAAGCAATAAGTATAAAAATTAAAAGTTTTGCTTGATAAGGCTCCAGATTGATTCAGCTTCACCCACAAGAATAAAATTGGGAAATTTCACAGATGAAAAAGGTATGTGAGAAAAATATATTTAAATCAGCTACGGGTACAAATTGAAGGTTTTTTTCTGCAATTGAACTTTCTGTAAAAATCAGAAGTTAGATAACTTCTTGTTCATATTAGGCTCCGAATTGAATTGATTCACTCGCACCAAAGCAGAAAATAAACCTAAAATCCTGCGACTGAACTCGCGGAGAAGGGGCGCGGTACATAACTATAAACGTAAGTACAGTACAGTACTTGTATACAGGTGCTGCTGCTGCCTCCTCTCGTGTAATTTTTTTTCTCCATTTTCATTTTGGGCTGTTTTTAATGCCCTGTTTATTGTTGCCTTGTGGACGTCACCATTGATTTCCCAGAGAGGACGTCCGGGGTCATGTGACGCGTGTGGACGCATTTTATGCACGCAGCGATACCAAATTCTAAATGTGTTGCATCACGCGCTCGTGAGTTTCTGGTGTGCGGCTCCAAATATATTTCCAAATTTTTTAAAAACAACTATACGCTTTTGCTTTCCGCTTTCCGACTCTGGTTACGACAACCTTGAGTCATCTGGAGCTGAAAAGGCAATGGCGCTGAGGAATTCTGGGAATTGTTTTGCTATTTCATTGAGGAGCTTTCGTCGCCTAGCACAGAGTTCAAGGTCTTCGAGAAAACTGCAGTCGTGTGAGCAGTGAAATGCTTTTCTTTAAGACTAAGATAGGTCAAAAATTCACGGAAAGGTAAAAGAAAAATACTTTTTGCGTGCTTGCGATTAAATTTCTCGGTTTTCATCAGAGACTAAATTATTTGAATTTAAGCTAAACTAGCGAGGAAATTATCGACACTCATCAGAAACGCTCCTCATTGAGTCAAACGGTTCAAAAAATTATCCAGAAATGTCTTCCAAGCTTCTGGCTGCTGCCTTGCAATTCTGAACATGAATGAGAAACACAGCTATTCGGAAAGAAAACACACTGGGTCGTAAAAGATTCACGAGTGTCGCACGCACACGTCATGAAACGTGACGTGTGCGTGTGCACATACGCGAAGCAGTGATGGACGAGATGATGCGTAGGCAAACAGATTCGCTATCGCTTCCGCATGGGACATTCTTTGCAAGGTATAGCTACCAAAAAAAAAAGGAATTTTAATAAGGTTGTGGTCTGAAAAACAATCAGCGTGGAAATACTTAAAGCCAGTTTTTGCAGATGGAAGAGCCAAAATTTGACATACCCGAATCGCGAGTGAACAATCTAAAATACCATCAATAGCAGGCAAAATCGGTCAAGAAATCACGGTTTTGTGGAGACCATCATACTTTTTAAAATCAACGTCTTCAGTCCAGCGAAAGTGAAGCTTTGCACTAGCATCGAATGAAAAAAAATTAATGCTTAAAATCATCAAGATCGAACTTGAAACCTTTCACCTTAAGGTCAAAGTAAAACTTTAAAAAACTGAAAATTCTTCAAAATTTTTTCTATTACTTGCTTGGAATAGGATGTTTTTATTGAACATTTCAATCACTCGGACTTATTGAAATTTATATATAATTTGAATGACTCCCTCAGACCCTCAGCGACACTCGACTCTATTCATCATTTGATGCTCATCCTGAGGTTAGATCTTGAACAACTCACTCATTAAAAATATATTGTACCAGAAAAGTATAATACGAAGGAATAG